ATCGCTCTAATAGGATATTATGGTCAACAGTAGTGGTGTGCGGATCGACACTGATGAACTGATTCTTCTGATAACAGACATTTATGCTCTAGAATCGATTCTCCTATTAAAATATTGATATTTTGGTCAGTCTGCCCAGAGCAGCTGTGGCTACAACTGTAGCCTCCACCAGTGTGTGAATGTGAGAGTGAATGAATAGTGGAATTGTAAAGCGCTATATAAATGCAATCCATTATTATTATTATTATTTAGTAATTTTGAAAAAAATGAGAGTTTATCATTAACAGGAACACAGTAAACAGCAACATTATTGGGATCGTCTAAATGATTGGTAAGAACTACTTCCTCTTCTGCCTTTCATAGCGTTACGTGAACTGCGTCACGGCTCACGTGTGCGCGCTCAGTTGATAATCGTAAGCAGAGTCACTTTTGTGGAGCTACAAACAAGCAAGATGAGGTTTGTGACACACGTGGCAGGATCACAGACCTTGTCAGACACAAATAAAAGTAAATTATAACAGAATGATGATGAGTTTATGATGCGGTGAACTGAAAAGGAGGAGAGAGACAGGTGGTGCTAGGGTGGAGTTATCCAGGTACAGAGGGAGAAACTCTGGCCTGGGTTTAGGGTTTTCTGTCTGCGCTTCAATGACGGGAATCCACCGCATCTGAAACTATTCGCAGAGCACTGAAAGTGGATTATACAGGCGAATCGTTAAAATACAAACATTTCATTCATATTAACTCTAAACTGCTTCTCAGCTGTATTTTCAGTCACTTTTGTTTTTCGTTGTTAGATGAATATTTTATGATGTCGTCTCGACTTTTCAGGGTTTTTAACTTCTCATCATTCTTCATAATTAACGATAAGAGCAGGAAGTCTGGTTCTTGTATTTATTTTGAACGTAAAATTGGAAACTTTTCACGTCCCAAACGTGTCGGGATCTGGTCTTGGTGGCATCACTGCGCTGAGGCCGAGCAGGACCCGCTCAGGTGAGTCCACCTGACTGACTCACGAATCTTTGAGCTCAAAGAGGAGGACAGGTGTCAGGTGACAGCTTAGATCACGTGACTCCTCGATGACTCCCTGATAAAGCTCCAAAACGAGAGCTGAAAGTAACTGAGTACTTTTACTCGACTAAAGCAGGATTCTGAAGTTAAATTTCCACACGAGGCAGTGACCGATCAGCTGATCGGTATCGATGAGGTAACCAATTAACCTGATAGATGATCGATCAGCTCACGCGGGGAGGTTCGGGGCTGTCACGCGCTGATGTCATTATTTGCCGATCTCGCCGCAGGCCACGCGCGGGTTCCGATGCAGAGCGGCGGACATCAGAGCCGATCGATCCGGCATCGATGGATTAGATCAGCTGGAGCGCGTGTGGCAGCGGGTCTGTCCGTCGGTCCGCGAGCTCCGCCAGTCCCGGTGTGCTTCTGCAGGTGACCGTTACTATGACACCCAGAGAGCTCGCAGAGGACAGAGGACTCACTCCGAGCGCGTCACCGGGACCGGAAGCAGCGGTCACCATGGCAACAAGGCTAATGACAAAACAACAGCCTTTGACAGGAAACGTTCACGAGCACGCGTGAATTTCTACTGAAGCAGTAAACACAGTAAACACCGACTCTATTCAAACTAAAGTCTGGGGTTCTCTGTGACGTCAAAGAGAGACTTCAAATCCTGCTCGGAGCGGATCCTCACCCAAAATACACGAGCTTCACGACTGTGACGTCACTTCTCGCCAAGCCTCGTTTTAACCTTCTGTGATTGGCGTCGTCATGGAAACGGACACTCCTCTGATCATTGATTCTACTCACTGATTAATTATCAATGATCGATCGGCAGATTTTCACGATATGAACGAAGCCAATAAAATTGAGCCGATCACCTATTACAGCTTCCGGTGCTGACTTTCACAATAAAAGCGGAAAACTTCACGCTCTGGCGTCTTTCACCTGCACGAGCAAGGAGATATTTATAGCGTGACGTCAGCTGCCTTACTGCTTCCTGTTTATTGATGGAGTTGAATCTGTCAGTTTTATTGTGAATAAACAACAAGCCTAAGGTAGAGGGCTGATGATGTCATCGCTCGACAGGTGAGAGCTGCCGCCACAGCTGGGCCGGTCTCCAATCACAGCCCAACCTCCGGTCCGCTGGTGTCTGCAGCTCCGGGTGATGACGTCACTCACCTGCTCCGATGTACCATACCCGTGTCAAAAACACGGAAATCCTGTGCGTGGAAGTTGGATAACTGAATGGGAATTCTGTTGACATCCGAGTCACACAGAAGGAGGAATCCCGTCCTCCAGTCTGTTTGAGATCAGCTGAGTATTCGGCACAGTTACACCCGTGATTATAAGGATGCTTATTTACGACAGATCTGTTTACATAATGAGATTTATGCAGTACTCCCCCCCAACCTTTATTTAAAGATTAGTACAATACAAAGTAGAATTAAACAGTATTACATTAAAGGTGTTGTACTTACAGAAATTGTAAACTACAAACAAACAACATTATTTCGAACCTACACTTACACTAGAGGGAGACGTTTTAACTGATTAAGCCCAGAAGTGAAGCGATCGAAGGATCTTGATTTCTTCGCATACAACCATAGCAATACTACTGCACGAAAACTTTTGTTCACTTCCAAAGTGGCTTTGTGTAAAGCGTATGGCACACCGCTATATACTGCCCCCTTGTGGTCATCCTGCAAACAATGTGGCATGTAGAAGCTACGTGTTGCTTCTACATGCCAGAGAGAGAGTGTAATATATATAAAACCCATTCACTGTGTGAAGCAGTGAGTAGGGAGGGTACCCTGCTCAGGGGTACCTCAGTGGATTTGAACCCCCAACCTTCCGATCATGGGGCAACATTCTACCGACTGAGCTAACCCGATACATAATGATCCTTTGTAGGACACGTAGAGGGGGTAGTGCCAGTCAGATGTTTGCAGCTGTGGGTTGTTTTGACTTTTAAAGGACTTTTAAGAAAGTTAATGTTCAATTTTAGAGAAGGACTGGATGGATGTACATCATTTGGGCACTCACAGATCCGACAGTGATGAGCCTCTCTGAGAGGAACTTGACCCCAATGTTCAGCACAAAGTTACGCCGATGATTACGACGGATGACCGTATCCATAATAAGGCTGGTAAATGTGAAAGGTCAAGGATGGCCTACTGGATACGTTTTTGAATATAAATCAGAAT